ACACTACACTGCACACACTATACACACTACACTCTACACACACTACACTACACTGCACACACTATACACACTACACTCTACACACACTACACTCTACACTGCACACACTACACTACACACTACACTCTACACTGCACACACTACACACTACACTGCACACACTACACTGCACACACTATACACTACACTCTACACGACACTACACACCACACTGGCGCTGTATTAGTAACGAATTGGCACGTTGACGTGACAACCTCCCCCGACTCTCTACGGAAGCCATCGAACCCCAACACAGTCTCTACGATGGCGGCACTTTGTCACTGACAAAACAAAGGTCCCCCGTGTAGCCTTCACGGACTGCTGGGGCAAGTGCTGTTAGCAGCAGCAGCAGCGCCGCCTGTGAAGGCCGCCGGCGCTGCGACACACACAGAGGGGTGGGTGGCCAGCACCACGCCCGGCCGCCTTTGTCTCCCTCATGCTGTGAGGTTTACTACACCACCACTACACCAGGTACTCAGTTGAGGCCGAGTCGACCTAGGGGAGGCCCAGGACCGGTTCAGATAATCGTCACCGGTGGTGTTGGTGGCTGTGAGCGGAACGAAACCCGGGTCGCATGGGTTCGTAGCGCTAACCGCTGCACCACCACTCCCCACTTACACAGTCACTGACACAGTCACTTACAATCCGCTGCAGATCGTCACACACAGGATAGTCACTTACGGATGGTTACACACAGACAGTCGCAGAGAATCACACACATTTAGTCAGTCACACCACACACGCGCGTGTGAATACAGGCATCATATAACACACACACGCGTGTGATTACAGGCATCATATAAACACACACACGTGTGATTACAGGCATTATATAACACACACACGCGTGTGATTACAGGCATCATATAACACACACACGCGTGTGATTACAGGCATCATATAACACACACACACGCGTGTGTGAATACAGGCATCATATAACACACACACAACAGTCGCCATTTGCCACGAAGTGACGGTGACGTCACCACAGCACCTGTGCCAGGCTAGGTGCACCTTGGGGCTGAGTGAAGTGAGGTGGTAGTGGTAGTAGTGGTGGTGGTAGTAGTGGTGTGGTAGTAGTGGTGGTGGTGGTATTAGTGGTGGTGGTAGTAGTTGGAGGTGTAGTGGTGGTGGAAGTGGTGGTAGTGGTGGTGTTGGTAGTGGTGTTGGTAGTGGTGGTAGTGGTGGTGTTGGTGGTAGTGGTGGTGGTTGTGGTGTTGGTGGTGGTAGTGGTGGTGGTTGTGGTGTTGGTTGGTGGTTGTGGTGTTGGTGTGGTAGTAGTTGTGGTTGTAGTGGTGGTTGTGGTGGTGGGATGGTGGTGGAGTGGTGGTGGTGGTAGTGGTGGGAGTGGTGGTAGTGGTGTTGGTAGTGGTGGTGGTTGTGGTGGTGGTAGTAGTAGTTGTAGTGGTTGTGGCTGTAGTGGTGGTTGTGGTGTTGGTGGTTGTGGTGTTGGTGGTGGTAGTGGTGGTGGTGGTAGTTGTAGTGGTTGTGGCTGTACTGGTGGTTGTGGTGTTGGTGGTGGTACTGGTGGTTGTGGTGGTAGTGGTGGTTGTGGTGGTTGCACCCACCGAAGTTGCTGTAGCTGCTGTCGTAGTCGTCGCCTGCGGCGCGCTTGGCACTGCCGCCGCTGCTGCCGCTGTGGCCGTGCGACGATCGCTCCCTAGGCAGGGCAACCACACGCACACACACGCACACACACACGCACACACACACACGCACACACACACACGCACACACACGCGCACACGCACACACACACACGCACACACGCACACGCACACACACGCGCACACACGCGCACAGACACACACACCACACACCACCACCCACACACACCGCCACACGCACACGCACACAGACACCACCACACAGACACACACGCACACAGACACACACGCACACAGACACACGCACACAGACACGCACGCACACGCCCACACGCACACACGCGCGCGCACACACTCGCGCACACATGCCACACATGCACGCACACGCACGCACACACGCGAACACACGCACACGCGCACACACGCACACGCGCACACACACGCACACTCGCACACACACACACACACGCCGCACACGCGCATGCACGCAGACACGCATGCACGCAGACACGCACACACACACCCACGCACACACACGCGCACACACACACGCACGCACGCAGGCACACAGGCACACAAACACACGCGGTGAGCTGGTGGTGAGCTGGTGGTGGTGAGCTGGTGGTGGTGGTGGTGGGTGTGAGGTGGTGGTGGTGGTGGTGAGGTGCTGGTGGTGGTGAGGTGGTGGTGGTGAGTGGTGGGGTGAGGTGGTGGTGGTGTGGTGAGCTGGTGTGGTGGTGGTGAGGTGGTGGTGGTGAGCAGTGAGGTGATGGTGAGGGCAGGGGATGAGGGGTTGAGGGGGGTGCTGGTGAGGTGGGGTACTAGTGGGGGGTATTAGTGGGGGGTGTGGGGGTACGAGTGGGGGGGTGGGGGGGTACCCGTCTCTGCGGCTGCTGCGTTCGTAGCTGCCCCCCCCTCCGTCACGGCCCCCCTCCCCCCCCGGGGACGAGGACGACGACCCTCGAGTCCGGCCACGGGCATTCGTAGCCTGGGTCACATGACATCACGACGTTATCCACATCGTCGTCATCATCACATGACGTCATCATCACATGACGTCATCATCACATCATCATCACATCGTCGTCACATCGTCATCACCACCACCACTAGCCTAACATCGTCATGATCACATCACCTCTGGGGTCATATTGTCATCATAACATCGGTCACTCTCTCTCTCTGTGCCACAACCCACCCACTCTCTCTCTCTGTGCCACCACCCACCCCTCTCCTGTGTCACCCACCCCCACTCTCTCTCTCTGTGCCACCCACCCACCCACTCTCTGTGCCACCCACCCACCCACTCTCTGTGCCACCCACCCCCAACTCTCTCTCTCTTTGTGTCACCCACCCACCCACTCTCTCTGTGCCACCCACCCACCCACCCTCTCTCTCTCTCTGTGCCCCCCCACCAACTCTCTCTCTCTCTGTCACCCACCCACCCACCACTCTCTCTCTCTGTGCCACCCCCCCACTCTCTGTGTCACCCACCCACTCTCTCTGTGTCACCCACCCACCCACTCTCTCTCTGTGCCCCCCCCACTCTCTGTGTCACCCACCCACTCTCTCTGTGTCACCCAACCCCACCTCTCTCTCTGTGCCACCCACCCACACTCTCTGTGTCACCCACCCACTCTCTCTGTGTCACCCACCCACCCACACTCTCTCTCTCTGTGCCCCCACCCACACTCTCTGTGTCACCCACCCACCCCACTCTCTCTCTGTGCCACCCACCCACTCTCTGTGCCACCCACCCACCCCCCACTCTCTCTCTCTCTGTGCAACCCACCCACCAACTCTCTCTCATCTGTGTCACCCACCCACCCACACTCTCTCTCTCTGTGCCACCACCCCACACTCTCTGTGTCACCCACCCACTCTCTCTGTGTCAACCCACCCACCCACTCCTCTCTTCTCTGTGCCACCCACCCACTCTCTGTGTCACCCACCCACTCTCTCTGTGTCACCCACCCAACCCACACTCTCTCTCTCTGTGCCACCCACCCACACTCTCTGTGTCACCACCCACTCTCTCTGTGTCACCCACCCACCCACACTCTCTCTCTCCTGTGCCACCCACCCCACACTCTCTGTGTCACCCACACCACCCACACTCTCTCTCTGTGCCACCACCCACACTCTCTGTGTCACCCCACCCACCCACTCTCTCTCTCTCTGTGCCACCACCCACACTCTCTGGTGTCACCCACCCACTCTCTCTGTGTCACCCACCCCCACACTCTCTCTCTCTCGTGCCACCCACCCACACTCTCTGTGTCACCCACCCACCCACTCTCTCTCTCTCTCTGTGCCACCCACCCACACTCTCTGTGTCACCCACCCACCCACACTCTCTCTCTCTCTGTGCCACCCACCCACCCACCCACCCACTCTCTCTCTCCGTGCCACCCACCCACTCTCTCTGTGTTCACCCACCACCCACCACTCTCTCTCTCTCTGTGTCACCCACCCACCCACACTCTCTCTCTGTGCCACCCACTCTCTCTGTGTCCACCCACCCACACTCTCTCTCTCTGTCACCCACCACTCTCTCTCTCTCTCTGTGCAACCCACCACTCTCTCTGTGTCACCCACCCACCCACTCTCTCTCTCTCCGTGCCACCCACCCACACTCTCTCTCTCCGTGCCACCCACCCACACTCTCTCTCTCTCTGTGTCACCCACCCACCCACCCACACTCACTCTCTCTGTGTCACCCACCCACCCACTCTCTCTCTGTGCCACCCACCCACCCACTCTCTCTGTGTCACCCACCCACCCCACCCACTCTCTCTCTCTCTGTGTCACCCACCCACCCACACTCACTCTCTCTCCGTGCCACCCCACCCACACTCTCTCTCCGTGCCACCCACCCACCCACTCTCTCTCTCTCTCCGTGCCACCCACCCACTCTCTCTGTGTCACCCCACCCACCCACACTCTCTCTCTGTGGCACCCACCCACCCACTTCCTCTCTCTCCGTGCCACCCACCCACCCACTCCTCTGTGCCACCCACCCACCCACTCTATCTCTCTCTCCGTGTCACCCACCCACCCACACTCTCTCTCTGTGCCACCACCCACCACTCTCTCTGTGCCACCCACCCACCCACTCTCTCTCTCTCTGTGCAACCCACCCACTCTCTCTGTGTCACCCCACCCACCCACTCTCTCTCTCTCTGTGCCACCCACCCACCCACTCTCTCTCTCTCTCCGTGTCACCACCCACTCTCTCTGTGTCACCCACCCACCCACACTCTCTCTCTCTGTGCCACCCACCCACACTCTCTGTGTCACCCACCCACTCTCTCTGTGTCACCCACCCACCCACACTCTCTCTCTCTGTGCCACCACCCACACTCTCTGTGTCACCCACCCACCCACACACTCTCTTCTCTCTGTGCCACCCACCCCACACTCTCTGTGTCACCCACCCACCCACTCTCTCTCTCTCTCTGTGCCCCACCCACACACTCATCTGTGTCACCCACCCACCCACACTCTCTCTCTCTCTGTGCCACCCACCCACCCACCCACCCACTCTCTCTCTCTCCGTGCCACCCACCCACACTCTCTCTCATCTGTGTCACCCACCACACCACCTCTCTCTCTCTGTGTCACCCACCCACCCACTCTCTCTGTGTCACCCACCCCCCACCCACCCACTCTCTCTCTCTCTGTGTCACCCACCCACCCACACTCTCTCTCTGTGTCACCCACCCACCCACACTCTCTCTCTCTCTGTGTCACCCACCCACCCACTCTCTCTCTCTCTCCCGTGCCACCCACCCACACTCTCTCTCTCTGTGTCACCCACCCACCCACTCTCTCTCTCTGTGTCACCCACCCACCCACTCTCTCTCTCTGTGTCACCCACCCACTCTCTCTCTCTCTCCGTGCCACCCACCCACCCACACTCTCTCTCTCTGTGGTCACCCACCCACCCACTCTCTCTCTCTGTGTCACCCACCCACTCTCTCTCTCTCTCCGTGCCACCCACCCACCCACTCTCTCTCTCTGTGCCACCCACCCACCCACTCTCTCCGTGCCACCCACCCACCCACTCTCTCTCTCTCTGTGCCACCCACCCACCCTCTCTCTCCGTGCCACCCACCCACCCACCCACTCTCTCCGTGCCACCCACCCACCCACTCTCTCTCTCTCTCCGTGCCACCCACCACCCACCTCTCTCTCTCTCCGTGCCACCCACCCACTCTCTCTGTGCCACCCACCCACCCACTCTCTCTCTCTCTGTGCCACCCACCCACTCTCTCTGTGGCACCCACCCACCCACACTCTCTCTCTCTGTGCCACCCACCCACTCTCTCTGTGTCACCCACCCCACCCACACTCTCTCTCTCTGTGCCACCCACCCACTCTCTCTGTGGCACCCACCCACCCACACTCTCTCTCTCCGTGCCACCCACCCACCCACTCTCTCTGTGTCACCCACCCACTCTCTCTGTCTCTCCCCCCCGTGCGTGTGCCACTCACCGTCTCCCCTGTAGGAGGAGGAGGAGCGGGAGCTGTCGTCTGCCGAGCGTTTCGCTGGGGGGCTCCCCTCCACGTAGCCGGACGAACTCCTCTTGCCATGGCTCCAGCCTAGGGTGGTGGGTGGGGTGAGACGACACTTACTCGCCCCGCCCACTCGTCGACTCGCTCGCATCGCCCCGCCTGCCGTGGGCGATCGCTCTGGCGGCGACCACGGCTCTGCTCCTTGCTGGGCCCCGTGGAGATGCTGCGGCTGTGTGGGCAAGGGGTGGGGGGGTCGCGGCGGTGGCGACGGCCGGGGGGGCTTCTTGCCGGCGAGCCTCTCTCCTTGCCGCTCGTCCTCCGTGGCACGGCAAACATCGATTTGCCGTCGGGAGCGTGGCAACCACCCCCCTCCACCCCCCCACAGGGGACACTCCCCCCCCCCCCCCCCGGTCTGCGGTGGTGCCGACGCGGCCACTTCTTGATCTTGACGACGCTCACCGCCACGTCCACGTCGTCCTTGTGAGCGGCCGCTTCTTCTGTTCTCCGTGAGGGGGGGTGGGGGGCAGCCGCTGTCGTCCTGCGTCTCAGCTGGGAGCATCGCGGGGGGGGGGGGGGGGGGGGAGGGGGTGGGGGCCGAGTTGGAGCATCCTGACGAGGCGGCCGCTCCCATCCGAGGCCGGCGTCGTCGGGCGATGCCGGCGATGTCCGCCCCCCCCCCCACCTCCAGGACCGCCGGCGTGCCCCCCTCCCTCTTCCCGAGCGATCGTCGCGACTTCGTGCGAGTTGCCTTCTTCTTCGTCGCCAGTCGCGACTCCCACCCAAAGCGTGCCCCCTCCCGCACGTGGTCCGGGTTTTATTTTTGTGTTGACCTGGGCACGTCGCCGCCATCTCGAAGGGCTCCTTGTCCTCACTCGGGCGAAAGCTCTGCCGGCAACGGCTTCCGGCAGAGGCGGCGTGTCGGTGGCGGTGGTGGTGATGGTGGTGGCGGTGTTGGGGGCGGTGGGGGTGGTGGTGGCGGTGCGTTCCCGCGGCGATGTCGGCTTTAGGGGGGGGTGGAAGACAGACGGCCGCCGAGGGTAGGCGGGCGAGGGGGTGGCCGTCGTCAAGAGCGCATCGCTGGGGCCGGCGTTGTGTCGTCTGGTGGTGGTGGCTGGCGGAGGATTTGCGTCTTTATCCCCAACCCACACGGCGTAACGCCGCATTCTGGTACGGGGAAATTTGAGTTTTCAGGTCCATACGGCGTACAGCCATTAAAGTCTCCCATAGACTCCAATGTCAAAGTCTCCCATAGACTCCAATGTCAAAGTCTCCCATAGACTCCAATGTCAAAGTCTCCCATAGACTCCAATGTTAAAGTCTCCCATAGACGCCAATGTCAAAGTCTCCCATAGACTCCATTGTTAAAGTATCTACCCATAGACTCCAATGTTAAAGTCTCTACCCATAGACTCCAATGTTAAAGTCTCCCATAGACTCCAATGTTAAAGTCTCTACCCATAGACTCCAATGTTAAAGTCTCCCATAGACTCCAATGTTAAAGTCTCCCATAGACTCCATGTTAAAGTATCTACCCATAGACTCCAATGTTAAAGTCTCCCATAGACTCCAATGTTAAAGTCTCCCATAGACTCCAATGCTAAAGTCTCTACCCATAGACTCCAATGTTAAAGTCTCTATCCATAGACGTCAATGGTAAAGTCTCCCACAGACTACAATGTTAAAGTCTCCCATAGACTCCAATGTTAAAGTCTCTAGCCATAGACTCCAATGTTAAAGTCTCTACCCATAGACTCCAATGTTAAAGTCTCTACCCATAGACTCCAATGTTAAAGTCTCTACCCATAGACTCCAATGTTAAAGTCTCCCACAGACTACAATGTTAAAGTCTCCCAAATACTCCAATGTTAAAGTCTCCCATAGACTCCAATGTTAAAGTCTCCCATAGACTCCAATGTGAAAGTATCCCATAGACTCCAATGTGAAAGTATCCCATAGACTCCAATGTTAAAGTCTCTACTGATATACTCCAATGTTAAAGTATCCCATAGACTCCAATGTTAAAGTCTCTACCCATAGACTCCAATGTTAAAGTCTCTACCCATAGACTCCAATGTTAAAGTCTCTATCCATAGACTCCAATGTTAAAATCTCCCACAGACTACAATGTTAAAGTCTCCCATGAACTCCAATGTTAAAGTCTCCCATAGACTCCAATGTTAAAGTCTCCCATAGACTCCAATGTTACAAACCGTGTCAACCCACATGGTGTTCCCTGTATTCTTGTACAAGGAAATTTGAGTTTAGGTCCATACGGCATACAGCCGTTTCAATAAGGGAAAAATAAAATAACTTGTTTATTTGTGTTTCTCTCCTTGAGATGGGATCTACGTTGACATTTATACTGGTAGGAATGAAGTGGACCAGCCTACAATAGATTATATCGTCCGTCTGACCGTCCGACCGTGTAGCAACATCGCCCCCTACTGCAAACACTTGGCATGACCCTACAAAAACCTTTAGACTCAGTGACGCTTTCCTGGCTAACAAGTGTAACATTCCCTTATAATTCCCTGAGATAGCTTTTAATTAAAACGTTTTAATTCAAATTTTACTCACAACGCCCTAAAGCCTACAGCTCGGCCTAAAGCCTCGAACTACGCCTATCACTCTCCCTTCGTATCGTACCCCCGCGTGTGTGCAAGGGAGTTAATGTTTAACAATGTTACATTCCCTGATGCTTTTAAATAGAAACATTTAAATTTAAAGCTTTTACATAAATAATAAAAACATTTAATTTTATAATTAACTCACGGCGGCCTAAAGCCTACAGCTAGGCCTAAAGCCTAGAACTAGGCCTCACACTCTCCCTTCGTATCGTCCGATTCGGTGTAGCAACATCGCTCCCTACTGCAAACACTTGGCAGGACCCTACAAAAACCTTTAGACTCAGTGGGGCTTTCCTGGCTAAACAAGTGTCATAATACATTATGTTCATATTCTTTGGTTAATCGTTCCTACCAGCCCACCCCGCAGGGTCCTGTTATGGCTTTATTTTGGTGATTTTTGAAAAGTTTTTCGGTTAGCCATGTTTGTTGTAGTACAGAGTTAGGCTGATGGCCTTAATCTAGGTTGTCTTGTGGTTGTTTTTTGACTCGCATCCCACTGGGATTTTTGCACAGTGTTGGTGTACGGTGCTTTTCTGCAATATTTTGCTGTCTTTTCTTGGATTTTCTGTTTGCACATAGTCACTTTAAGATGTTTTCTTGTTCATGTTTTTGTTTTTTTGTTTGTTGTAGTTGCACCCGATTCAAGAGCCGAATGGCTCACAGGGCTATACCTAATAAATGAACTTGAACTTATAAGGGCCACGGGGTGACCAATAAGGTCTGAGATGGTCTCTAATAAGGTAGGGCACCGATGATAAGGGGGTTGACGGCGTTGCCATACACAGGAGCTTGCGATGCCTTTGTGAAGGCATCCAGGATGCACTGCGGCTCTTCCTCCGAGCGGGCAGCGATGGCATTGTCATCGGCATGCCCGGAGGAGCCTCACAATGGAAGTGGTGGAGACTTTGCTCTTTGTGCCATGACTCTGTCGGGGGAGAAGATTCTTTCCCCGTCTGTTCTGGACAGGAATTTGGACTCCCTCGAGGCAGATTTTTTTTTGCCTGCGAGGTGGAGGATTGGCTTTGCGAGGTAGGCGCAATGACGCAGCCCTGTTCAACCTCACCCAGCCACCCACCCAGCCACCCATCCACCCACCCAGCCAGCCAGCCAGCCACCCACCCAGCCAGCCAGCCACCCATCCAGCCAGCCAGCCACCCACCCAGCCACCAACCCACCCAGCCACCCACCCACCCAGCCACCCACCCACCCAGCCACCCACCCACCCAGCCACCCACCCACCCAGCCACCCACCCACCCAGCCACCCACCCACCCAGCCACCCCACCCACCCACGCAGCCACCCACCCACGCAGCCACCCACCCAGCCAGCTACCCACCCAGCCAGCCACCCACCCAGCCAGCCACCAACCCACCCAGCCAGCCAGCCACCAACCCACCCAGCCAGCCACCAACCCACCCAGCCAGCCAGCCACCCACCCAGCCAGCCACCCACCCACCCCCGCCGCCCCAGGTATCCACCTCCCAAGGGTTTCCGTTTACCGCACCGCTGCTGCCGAGCACCGCGTCACGCAGCAGTCGCGGTGGCCCTCGTCAACTTGCCCGGGGGCGGTCGATCGTTTTTTGACAGAATCAGCCGGAGGGGGGGGGGGGGCGTGACGGTTCACAGAGTCGGAGGCTCTTTGTCAAGGGTGGACAAAGAGGCGCGTGTAAAACCGGTTTGCGTTTGTTCCCGGCATGTCGCTTGAGCTCGCCGTACCGTGAACAGCACCGTCTGTCGTGCCTCTGCACGGGCCGCACGTCGTGAGATTCTGGGAGGGTATCTTCTGACGGGGTAGGAGTCCGTTTGCCGGGATGCGGGTAAAAGTATTTGTTCCCGGCTGTGGACAGGACAACCGCGGCCAGTTGGTTGTTCGCAAGCCTCGGACGGACGGTCACGAGGCGGTTGTTGATGTCCACGGAGAGTCCGGAGTGGTGGCCGACGATTCCGTTGTTAATCAGCGAAACCTTCCGTGGGGGCGGACGCCTTTCGCCGTTGTTCTCTGGTCCGACCAAAGTATTGGTGGGTGGGTGGTGGTGGTGGGTGGTGGTGGCGGCGGTGGTGAGACCAGGCCCTGAAGAAGGCTGCCGTCTCTGGTGCAGGCAAAACAGTTTCAAGGACAACGCCCAGATATTACCGGAGCACGTTTAGTTGTTTGCACGTTCACCGCAAGGACTGTGTGTGGTGAACACGCAGTAACTCGACTCCGTTTGCTGTTTGAACATCTCAGTACACCTGCTGTCTCATTGCCACAGAGGGGGTAAACATCGTTTTTTTCTGTTGTCTCCATACGTGGGGCGACTGACGCACGGGCAGCCGCCAACCCGCACGGTCCGATGACGAGAGAGGAGGGATCAGGCTCCAGCGGCACGGAGGCCACGACGGACTGGCGACCTCCCCCTTCTGTGGCCTCCACAACCGTCGTGGCGTTGACGTCATCTTCCGCCCGTTCCGTCGCCCAGGTCTCCGTTGGGTCGCCCTTGACCCCGCCGCCCCTTGACCCCGCCGCCCCTTGACCCCGCTGTCGCCACGGGTGAACCCCGGCACTTCGGCCCACACGAGCGGCTAAGCTCCAGACGGCATCGCTCTTTGCATCTCGCACGAGCTTCTCCAGCGCGGCAAGGGGGCGGGGTCCTCGCTCATCTGCTCGCCCACTCGTGAGCTCGCCCACTCGTGAGCTCGCCCACTCGCCCGCCTGCTCGCCGACTCACCCAGTCGCTCGTTCCCCACCTACTCACTTGCTCGCCCACTCGTGAGCTCGCCCGCCCGCCCGCCGACTCACCCACCCGCTCAGTCGCTCGCTCCCCACCGACTCACTTGCTCGCTCGCCCACTCGTTAGCTCACAGTATCAATCGCTCACCCACTCACCGAATCACCCACGGACTCACTCGCGCAAACATCCAGACTCACGCAGAGTCTCACAGAAACCCAGACTCGTCGTTAACCATCCGGCCCCACGTGTCGCCCCCCCCCACGCGTCACCACCCCCCACGCGTCACCACCCCCACGCGCCACAACTCACCCTGGCTGCGATCGTCGTCCCCTCCTCCGCGCCGGTATCCACCACCGCCGCCACTGCTGCCACGGGAGCGGCTGTAGTCCCCGTATCCGCCACCTCCTCCCCCGTATCCGCCGCCTCCTCCCCCGTATCCGCCACCGCCACCTCCGTATCCGCCGCCGCCTCCGCTGTAACCGCCGCCGCCTCCTCCGCTGTAACCGCCGCCGCCGCTGCCGCCACCGTTACCGGCCCAGTCGGTGGGGCGGCCGGTGGCTTGCTCCACGGTGATGCTGCGGCCATCCAGGGACTGCCGGGCAAAGACCACACGCACAACAGACAAAGGTCCCCCGTGTAGCCTTGGCACAGACTATTGGTGGGCAAGTGCTGCAGCGGCGCCTGTGAAGGCCGGCAGGGCTAACAGAGGGGGTTTGGTAGGCAGCGACCACACACACAGGTCCCCCGTGTCGCCTACACAGACTCGTGGGGCAAGTGCTGTTACAGCGAGCAGCGCTTATGAAGGCCGGCACAGCTCACAAGAGGGGGTTAGGGAAGCCTGCACCAGGCCCGGCCTCCCAGCCACCTTTGTCTCCCCCCTCGTGGCAATATTGACCAGAGCCCGCACCAGGCGCTCGTTTATAGCCACGTCGACCGAGCGGAGGCCCCAGGACCGGTTGTGATGTTCACTCGTGAACCGTTGTCGGTCGCCAGCGGGAATTGAACCCGGGTTCATCTCCGTCTCCCAGCGGGAGTCTGGTGCTGAATACACCGGCTCACTCCGTTGAGGGCCGAGTCTGCCGAGGGCAGTCCCAGCGAATCTCCCCTGAGACTAAACCGCTACAGCAGGGATTCACACACGCCAGTACCCGCAGACCACCACCACCACCACCGCTACCAACCACCACCACCATCACCACCGCCAACATCACCACCACCACCGCTACCAGCCACCAGGCTGGGTATCTGTGCATCCCCGTGTCGAGTCTCCCAACCGCTGGGCGGTGGCCCTGCGATGATGACGCTTGTGCCTCACAGCAAGTACCGGGCCTGGGTTTGATTTCAGACCCGTTTGTACGATCTCCCCCTGTTCTACACAGTGAGTGGAGTTTGTGTGATCTCCCCCTGTTCTACACAGTGAGTGGAGTTTGTTTGATCTCCCCCTGTTCTACAGAGTGAGTGAGTGGAGTTTGTGTGATCTCCCCCTGTTCTACAGAGTGAGTGAGTGAAGTTTGTGTGATCTCCCCCTGTTCTACACAGTGAGTGAGTGGAGTTTGTGTGATCTCCCCCTGTTCTACAGAGTGAGTGGAGTTTGTGTGATCTCCCCCTGTTCTACAGAGTGAGTGGAGTTTGTGTGATCTCCCCTGTTCTACAGAGTGAGTGGAGTTTGTGTGATCTCCCCCTGTTCTACACAGTGAGTGAGTGGAGTTTGTGTGATCTCCCCCTGTTCTACAGAGTGAGTGGAGTTTGTGTGATCTCCCCCTGTTCTACAGAGTGAGTGGAGTTTGTGTGATCTCCCCCTGTTCTACAGAGTGAGTGGAGTTTGTGTGATCTCCCCCTGTTCTATACAGTGAGTGGAGTTTGTGTGATCTCCCCCTGTTCTACAGAGTGAGTGGAGTTTGTATGATCTCCCCCTTGTTCGACAGAGTCAGTGTAGTTTGTATGATCTCCCTTCATGAAAAATATTAGTCGTGAAAGCCTACGTGTTATACATAATGTGAATGCACAATGCGCATGCGTGATGCACGCACACCATGCATGCACATCCTGACGTATTTGGGTGTAAAAGTAATAAAATCGCAAGACGGACAGTCCCCGGGTTGCGGAAGACGCGACTCACGGGAAATCCCACCCGACGGAAATGCTCCCGTAAACGGTGTCAAAACAATTTCAACGCGCGGCAAGTCGTGCGGCGCGGGGCGGGGCGGGGCGGGGGTTGCGGATGAATACCGTGGAAGGAGGGAGGAGGCGTAAGGCCGGGGGGCAGCCTCACGCCTCAATCGAGCTACACGAGGATTCAGGCAAATGGGGATCTCATCTTGATTCTGGGGGGAAATTGTTCAGTTTCCGACATACGGAAAATTCGGATCGTTCCTGGGAACCTAACCCCCCTTCCATAACCGGGGACTGTCCGTCCTGTTATTGGCTGCTCACAGTAAATCACCACGAGGTTTCGGCATGCAGCTAAACAGAGCGGTAGAATCACTTGATACTCCGCTTCAAAGCAGCACTACGCCTGCAGCTGTCACAACGGTTTACACAATTGTTATTTCTCTCAATTTCAATAGATTCTCTAATTAGTCTTGGCCAGTAGTAACCAGTTTTGCACAGAACTTTTACATTATCAAAATCAATTGGGTGTCCTCGTTGGCACGCGTGTTCTGCCACTCACCCACCGCTGTGTTTGGGAGTATTTAATATTCCTTTGGTGTTCGTTTAGTCTCGCGCTGATCATTTGTCCCGCCTGACCAACACAGCATTTTCCGCAGGAGCAATTAATCCGGTACACACCTTCTGTTTATAGCTTCTGTAATACATATGTAGTACCAGATATTAGTTTTTGTATTTTATGTACCATGCTAAGTCTCACTCGGATGTTTTGTTTTTAAAAAAATGTGGCTAGTTTATCAGTTACTCCCGCAATGTACGGTATTTTAATCGTTGTAATTGCTTTATCAGGTTTCAACGCTTGTGCTATTTGATTGGGTTTTGCCATTCAGTGCCTTGTTGATTTGTGCATCATTGTAACCGTTCAATTGCAGCGCTTCTTTAACGTGTTTAATCTCACTCCTCAGACTTTCACCCACTCACTCCACAGACTTTCACCACCTGACACTTTGTTTGCCCGATGTATGAGCGTCTTGATGAGAGAGGATTTCCTGCGGGGTGATGGTGTGACTGCATTCGGTAAACGCTGTGTGTTATTTTACCGTTTCGGTCGCACCCAAGCAAAATATCAGGAAATGGGAGAGTTCTATCAACCTCCACTTCCATGGTGAACTGGAAGGATGGGTTTTGCGAGTTGAGATGAGTGAGTGGAGTTTGTGTGATCTCCCCATGTTCTACAGAGTGAGGGAGTGGAGTTTGTATGATCTCCCCGTGTTCTACAGAGTGCAGTTTGTATGATCTCTCCATTCTACAGAGTGAGTGAGCGGAGTTCGTATGATCTCCCCCTGTTCTACAGAGTGAGTGAGCGGAGTTCGTATGATCTCCGCCCTGTTCTACAGAGTGAGCGGAGTTTGTATGATCTCCCCCTGTTCTACAGAGTGGAGTTTGTATGATCTCCCCATTCTCAAGATTAAAAGGGAGGGGAGTTTGTACAATATCGATGGCGCTACTACTACTACTACGCCTTTCCGGGTAAAAATCAACGCCGAGCCGCTTTGCGTGTTCCGAGATATGACGGTGAACGGGAGCCCACCCCACCCTGCGTCTTGCAGACGTCTGGGAATGGGTTAGGGTGCAGAGACGTTCAGCTGCCGTAGTTTCAGCGGCCGTTCGTTTAGCGATGGTGGCGGCGACCATGGCGGTGGCTGAACCTGGCCGGATCGAGAATGAACCGAAAGCATCCGGGCGAGGTAGGTGACCCCTTGGGAAATGAATTCAAATGGATCAGCAGGAGCCACGTTTTGGGAAATTGCGATCCTTAGGAATTGAGAAACGCTTGGAACGTCATGGACCATGAGAATTGAGAGACCCTTGGAACATCATGGACCAAGAGAATTGAGAGACCCTTGGAACGCCATGGACCAAGAGAATTGAGAGGCTTGGGATGCCATGGACCATGAGAATTGAAAGACACTTGGGATCCCATTGATCACGAGAATTGAAAGACACTTGGGATGCCGTGGACCATGAGAATTGAGAGGCTTTTGGACATCATGGACCAAGAGAATTGAGAGACACTTGGGACATCATGGACCAAGAGAATTGAGAGACACTTTGGACATCATGGACCAAGAGGATTGAGAGACGCTTGGGATGCCATGGACCAAGATAATTGAGAGACCCTTGGGACGTCATAGACCAAGATAATTGAGACGATTGGGACGTCATGGATAAAGAGAATTGAGAGACTTGGGACATCATGGACCAAGAGAATTGAGACACTTGGGATGCCATGGACCATGAGAATTGAGAGACTTTGGACATCATGAACCAAGATAATTAAGAGACCCTTGGAACGTCATGGACCAATTGAGAGACTTTGGACATCATGGACCAAGAGGATTGAGAAGCTTGGGATGCCATAGACCAAGAAAATTGAGAGACGCTTGGGATGCCATGGACCAAGAGAATTGAGACGCTTGGGACATCATGGACCAAGAGAATTGAGATGCTTGGGATCCCATTGATCACGAGAATTGAGACACTTTGAGACGTCATGGACCAAGATAATTGAGAGACGCTTGGGACGTCATGGACCAAGAGAATTGAGAAGCTTGGGACACCATGGACCAAGAAAACTGAGAGACATGGCATGTCATGGACCAAGAGAATTGAGACGCTTTGGATGCCATAGACCAAGAGAATTGAGAGACCCTTGGAATGCCGTGGACCATGAGAATTGAGACACTTGGGATGCCATAGACCAAGAGAATTGAGACACTTGGGATGCCATTGATGAGAATTGAGAAGCCATGGACCAAGAGAATTGAGACGCTTTGGACGCCATGGACCAAGAGAATTGAGAGACCCTTGGAATGCCGTGGACCATGAGAATTGAGACACTTGGGATGCCATAGACCAAGAGAATTGAGACACTTGGGATGCCATTGATGAGAATTGAGAAGCCATGGACCAAGAGAATTGAGACGCTTGGGACGTCATGGACCAAGAGAATTGAGACGCTTGGGACGTCATGGACCAAGAGAATTGAGACGCTTGGGACGTCATGGACCATGAGAATTGAGAGGCTTGAGACGCCATGGACCAAGAAAACTGAGAGACTTTGGACGTCATGAACCAAGAGAATTGAGAGGCTTGGGATGTCGTGAACCATGACAATTGAGAGACTTGGCAGGCCATGGACCAAGAGAATTGAGACCTTTGGGATGTCAAGACCCATGACAATTGAGAGACTTGGGACATCGTGAACCAAGAGAATTAAAGACGTCCGACGGTAAAAGATATTTCTTAAATGAACAATTTCAATTGTCCCACGCAGGATACGGCTTCCGAAGGTATGAACGGGTGGGGCGAGCTCCGCTTCGACGTTCGCCGGATGTTTGCGAGCGAGACGACAACAGGCTTTCGGAATGGACGCGAGACATTTGAAACGAGGTCACGTGGTCGGCGGGAACACAACTGCGGGAGCGCGACCGTGACCCGGAGACGCCGATTAAATGAGAACCACCGACGTTCCACCGACGTTCTACCGACGTTATCGTCGTTTTCGAGTGGCCGTCAAGGCAGACCCCCTGGTGGGGGACACCCCCCCGCCCCATCGCCTCGTCGCCAACGGGCAGGCAAGGCCGGAGGGGAACAATGGACGGACTGGCCGGCTACAACGGTTCCGCAGGGCATCCCACGCCCGAACGTGGCGCCTTCCAACCACCGCGTCCGGAGGAGGGGGAGGTGAGGGGCAGGGGCGGGTGGGGGGGGTGAGAGACGGACGGAGGTCATCCACGCGCCGAAGCGTTGTTTGAACGACGGAGACGGACGACGGACGAGAGAATGAAATCGACGGCGAGACGTACTTTTCCGTTCAGGTCTTTGGCGGCGTCTTTGGCATCGTCGGGATTCTCAAAAGTGACGAAAGCGAAGCCTCGGGACCTGTTAGTCTCGCGGTCCTTCAGCAACAGCACTGATGGAGCAGATCAACGAGAACAAGGTGCGCAGAGACTCATCACGACGGGGGACCGCCGGGGGGTCTCTCATGGCGCCGCCACCACCACTAACACCACCACCATTGCTAACACCACCACCATTGCTAACACTACCACCATTGCTAACACTACCACCGCCACCACTAACACACTACCACCACTGCTAACACTACCACCGCCACCAACACCGCCACCACTAACACTATCACCTCCACTAACACCACCACCATCGCTAACACTACCACCACCATCGCTAATACTACCACTAACACCACTACTAACACCACCACTGCTAACACTACTACCGCCAAAAAAACCGCCACCACTAACACTATCACCTCCACTAACACCACCATTGCTAACACCACCACCATCGCTAACACTACCACCATCGCTACCACTACCACCAACACTGCTAACACTACTACCGCCACTAACACCGCCACCACTAACACTATCACCTCCACTAACACCACCACCATTGCTAACACTACCACCGCCACTAACACCACCACTGCCACAACCACCACCATCATTAACACTACCACCACCGCTGACACTACCACGAACACCACCACAGCTAAGACAACCACCACCGCTAAACACTACCACCACTGCTAACACCACCGCTAACACCACCGCTACCACTACCGCCGCCGCTAACAACACCACCACTGCCACGAACGCGAACACTACCACAACCACTAACACCACCACTGCCACAACCACCGCCATCATTAACACTACCACCACCGCTAATACTACCACCACCACCGCTAACACTACCACCACCACCGCTAACACTACCACTAACACCACCACAGCTAAGACAACCACCACCGCTAAACACCACCGCCGCCGCTAACACTACCACCACCACCGCTAATACTACCACCACCACCGCTAACACTACCACTAACACCACCACAGCTAAGACAACCACCACCGCTAAACACCACCGCCGCCGCTAACAACACCACCACCACTACTACCACTACCACCACCACCGCCGCCGCTAACAACACCACCACCACTACCACCACCGCCGCTAACAACACCACCACCACTACTACCACTACCACCACCGCCGCCGCTAACAACACCACCACTGCCACGAGCGCTAACACTACCACCACCACTAACACCACCACTGCCACCACCACCGCCAAGACTACCACCACTATGAACACTTCCACCACTACCGCTAACACTACCACCATCACCATCCCTAACATTACCACTAACACTACCACCGCTAATACCACCAACACTGCCACCACCGCTACCACCACAAACACTATTATGACTAACACTACCACTAACACTCCCTCCACTGTCACTACCGCTAACACTCCTTCCACCATCACTACCGCTACCAATATCGCCACTATCACCACCACAAACAATACCACAACACTACCAACACCACTACCTCTAACACTACCACCACCACCACCGCCGCCACCACCTGGTGCACCGTTGCCGTGAGCTGTGCCTCCTGGCTCCATGGTCTCCACAGGTTCCTTGAAACATGGGACGCTTTCTCAGAGACGGTTAATTGCACTGGTTGAACTGGCTGCACTGATTGGACTGGTTGCAGTGGTTGCACTGATTGGATTGGTTGCACCGACTGGACTGGTTGCAATGACTACAGGAAGAGTTGACGGGAGTCAGATGCCTGAATGGAAGCCAAACATCCAAGGATGCGAAATAAGAATCATCTTGTTCTTCAATTTGATAGAGACCCACAGACTCACACAGGGAACCACACTCACACAGAGACCCACAGACACCGATAAACTCACACGGATAACCGATGTTTGTGTTTAGCTCGTTGTCCTTCCCCCGCACCTCCGATTAGCACGGTTGGTTCAGTATGGTGCGAAAGACGTTCCAAATGCATAGACACCCGCAGACTCACACAGAAACCCACAGACTCACACAGTGATGCACAGACTCAGTCAGACAAATCTATAAATTCACACAGACTCACAGAGACCCACAGACTCACAAAAAGACCCAGACACACACAGGGGCCTAGAGGGTGGTATGGCTGGCATGGTTGGCATGGTTGGCATGGGACGAGAATTGAGATGGGCTCCACCCCTGCCCAGTGTCCTTCTTCTTAGCCCGGGCACCTGGGGGGGCCTCTCCACCTGAGGGGGCCTCTTCACCCTGGGGAGGTGGCGCTTCGGTGCAGTTGCACCGCCTGCGCACTGCGTGAGCTGCGTGCACTGGGCTGGGCATGGCCTTGCTAGGGCCCCTCTCCTGTTAGTGTAGCCGCCAGGCCCGGTGTGCTTTGTGTATATACCATACGTGTATATGCTGCGTGTATATGCTGCGTGTATATTGCGTGTGTATATGGTGCGTGTGTGTATGCGGTGCGTGTGTGTATGCGGTATGTGTGTATATGCGGTGTGTGTATGCGGTGTGTGTGTATATGCGGTGTGTGTGTATGTGGTGTGTGTATGCGGTGTGTGTATATGCTGCGTGTGTATATGCTGCGCGTGTATATGCTGCGTGTGTATATGCTGCGTGTATATGTTATATGTGCATGCTATTTACATATGATATGTGTATGTATGCTATGTGTGTGCTATGTGTAGGCTGTGTGTGTATGCTGTGTGTGTGTATGCAACCTGAGCGAGGTGAGCGAGCAAGCGAATGGGAGAGGTTAGCGAGGTGAGGTTAGTGAGTGAGTTAGTGAGGTGAGGGTAGCGAGTGAGTGAGGTGAGGTTAGCGAGTGAGGTGAGGGTAGCGAGTGAGTGAGCGAGGTGGTGAGTGAGTGAGGTTAGCGAGTAAGTGAGTGAGTTAGCGAGTGAGTGAGCGAGGTGGTGAGTGAGGTTAGCGAGTGAGTGAGTGAGTTAGCGAGTGAGTGAGCGAGGTGGTGAGCGAGGTGGTGAGCCAAGTGGTGAGCGCTGCCTCCACTCACCCTGTGCCACACGGCCGTATTTCCCGAACACGTCCTGCAGCGAGCGCTCGTCCGTGCCAAAGTGCAGCCCGCCCACAAACAGCTTTCCATGATTCTCCTGCTCCGACATCTTGGTCAGTCTACACACACACAGCACGCACACACCTAGTATACACACACAGCACGCACACACCTAGTGTACACACACAGCACGCACACACCTAGTATACACATAACTAGTATACACACACAGCACGCACACACATCGTATATATATACACACAGCACGCACACACCTAGTATACACACAACTAGTATACACACAGCAAGCACACACATCGTATATATACACACACACACCACGCACACACCTAGTATACACACACACCACGCAAACACCTAGTATACACACAGCACGCACACACCTAGTATACACACACAGCACGCACACACCTAGTATACACACACACAATTAGTATACACACACAGAATGCACACACATCGTATATATTACACAGCACGCACACACCTAGTATACACACACACAGCATGCACACACCTCGTATACACACACACCACGCAAACACCTAGTATACACACAGCACGCACACACCTAGTATACACACACACAATTAGTATACACACACAGAATGCACACACATCGTATATATACACACAGCATGTACACACCTAGTATACACACACACAACACGCACACACATCGTATATATTACACAGCACACACACACCTAGTATACACACACACACAACTAGTATACACACACACAGCATGCACACACATCATATATATAAACACACAGCACGCACACAGTATACATACACACGTAGTATACACACACCTAGTACACACACACACACGTAGTATACACACGTAGATAGAAAAATAATAAAAATATCACGACGTTTCGATCGCAACACAAGCAATCGTCATCAGGTACAAAAATAGGGGGAGAGCTGGCGAGGCAGGATGTTGACCAGGTTTGAGATGGGTGTAGCCCAAGGGTCAGAAGCGAAGTGGGCGGGGCTAGTGATGAAATCTGCATGTCAATGTAAGATCGGGTAAATCGGAGAGCTACCTCCACGACGAAGAAGCTGTGGTTGTGGCCATTGTATTGTGAGAGATTAGCATGTCAATGTAAGATCGTAGAGCCACGGTGGTGGTGTTAGTGAGACATTTAACCTGTTAATGTAACACCAGATGGTCGAAAATAACTACTAACATCGGCAGGTAGGATGGAAACACACAGCCAGTTATGACTTAAACTGGTAAATAACGTCCTTCAAATGATTGCTCGGTTTGTGCCCATCTTCTCGGTTTAAATTGTGTTTATAGATCTGGATGGCTTCATGAACGAATCTTTGCTGATAGCCAGTGGGTTTGCAGAGTGGAAAAATCAATTTAGTGTGAGCCAGCCGCATTAAAACAATAATCAGCCACGGCCGAGGTATTGGTCCTACCGTGTTTCAGATCTGCCTTGTGTTCACAAACACGGTCCGAGACATAATTTCAACCGTGATGATGGGTACAAACTGAGTAATCATTGGAAAGATGTTATTAACCATGCAAAAAATATTTAACTACACATATTTGACCATCTTATTTGACAGGCAACTATTCTTTAGTTACCGTACAGTTTACTGATAGACAGCCAGTTTTGTTTTATCATGTTTAGCTTCTTTTTTCACACACTGGTTTCCTGCTTTAACTTTTACCCACCAGCAACATAGCAAAGGGCTGTTTCATCTACATGACAAAGGCTCAGTCCCATTTACAGCAGACGCACCTTAACAACTCTGGCACCTCCCAGTTCAACGAGTCTACACAACAAAGGCTCATTCCTAAAAGCAGCCTCAGCCGCACCAACCTCACAATAATAATACACAACTACGATCCAGGTGCCTACCTAGGCTCCTCCCACCTAAACCAGTATATATACAAGGACGGGTCTCTTAGAATTTCTCTTTACTTGATACAGCAATCGTGCTGTGACAGTTCCGCCTGAAGACGGAAGCTTGTGTTGCCTCCGAAACGTCGTGATTTTTATTTTAATTTTATTAATTTTATTTTTTACCTATGTGACTTTACCGAAAACACCTAAGAGTATGAATCCGAGACACGTCGCTTAGTTTCCCCAATGTAACTACTGCGGCAGACACAGCTTAGTTTGTAGACGCCGGGGTATTGCATGTCAGGGATTACATCCTTCAGAGAAGGGCTCAGATCACGAATTGTATGTACTGTGTTGAATTGAACCTGCATCTTGTGTTTGCTCATGATTTTGGAAATCTTATTGGTGACCTCCGCTATGCATGGCAACGTGATGGTTTTGATTGGGTCCTCAGATGGTTCTTTCCCAACGGTTGTTGTGTTGCAATCGAAACGTCGTGATATTTTTATTATTTTTTCTATCTCCGTGGCTTTACCAAAAGACTCAATGAATATGAATTCCTGCAGTCACGAAAGCTTAAAGTCAAGATTTACACCTAGTATAGACACACACACGTCATATACATAGTGTATACTGTATACACACATAGCACACACACAGAATCCAAAGAGCATACATACAGCATACACACAAATATGCGCATAGCATGCACTAAACTATGTTTACACTAAACCTACTGGACGCGTGAAAAAGAGCTTCATAGCTCATCGGATTTCTCCAGGATAAATGATTTGCATTGTATCGGCTGTCAGGCCCCACTGAGCTGCCGTGTAGCTGTCAGAGGCGACCACCTGGCCATCACAACTGATAGCTCAATGAAGCTTAGGCCCACAGAGACCCATACTCGGAGAGACCCACACAGATCCACACAGACACATACTCAGAGACCCACACAGACACATACTCATATAGACCCACAGAGACCTACACACACCCACACAGACCCACACTAATAGAGACTCACAGAGACCCACACAGACCCACACTTAGAGAGACCCACACAGACCCACACTAATAGAGACCCACAGACACCCACAGAGACCCACACTCAGAGACACCCACACAGACCCACACTCAGAGAGACCCACACTAATAGAGACCCACACAGACCCACACTCAGAGAGACCCACAGAGACCCACACAGACCCACACTCACAGAGACTCACACAGACCCACACGCATAGAGACCCACAGAGACCCACACTAATAGAGACCCACACAGACCCACACTCAGAGAGACCCACAGAGACCCACACAGACCCACACTCACAGAGACCCACACAGACCCACACTCATAGAGACCCACAGAGACCCACACTAATAGAGACCCACACAGACCCACACTCACAGAGACTCACACAGACCCACACTCACAGAGACTCACACAGACCCACACAGACCCACACTCATAGAGACTCACACAGACCCACACTCACACAGACCCACACAGACCCACACTCATAGAGACTCACACAGACCCACACTCACAGAGACTCACACAGACCCACACTCACAGAGACTCACACAGACCCACACTCATAGAGACCCACAGAGACCCACACTCACAGAGACTCACACAGACCCACACTCACACAGACCCACACTCACACAGACCCACACTCACACAGACCCACACAGACCCACACTCACACAGATCCACACTCACACAGACCCACACTCACACAGACCCACACAGACCCACACTCACACAGACCCACACTCACACAGACCCACACTCACACAGACCCACACTCACACAGACTCACACAGATCCACACTCACACAGACCCACACTCACACAGACCCACACTCACACAGACCCACACAGACCCACACTCACACAGATCCACACTCACACAGACCCACACTCACACAGACCCACACAGACCCACACTCACACAGACCCACACTCACACAGACCCACACTCACACAGACCCACACAGACCCACACTCACACAGATCCACACTCACACAGACCCACACTCACACAGACCCACACAGACCCACACTCACACAGACCCACACTCACACAGACCCACACTCACACAGACCCACACTCACACAGACTCACACAGACCCACACTCACAGAGACCCACACTCACACAGACCCACACTCACAGACACCCACACTAATAGAGACCCACACTAATAGACACCCACAGAGACCCACACTCACAGAGACCCACACAGACCCACACACACAGACACCCACACACACAGACACCCACACTAATAGAGACCCACATTAATAGAGACTCACAGAGACCCACACTCACAGAGACCCACACAGACCCACACACACAGACCCACACACATAGACACCCACACACAGACACCCACACACACAGACACCCACACACAGACCCACACACATAGACACCCACACACACAGACACCCACACACAGACACCCACACACAGACACCCACACACAGACCCACACTCACAGACACCCACACAGACCCACACACACAGACCCCACATAGAGACCCACATTAATAGACACCCACACAGACCCACACACACACAGACACCTACACACAGACCCCACCGCCCTCTCAGTTCGATTCCCGCTCACGGCCACCAACACCGCGAGCAGCGGCGACACGACGCGGTCGTGGGCCTCCCCTAGGTCCACTCGGCACGCAGCGGCGGCAACAGCAGCAGCGCGAGAGAGAGAAGAGCGAGCGACAGGGCGAGGAAAGAGAGGAGAGCGGGGAGAGAGAAGAGAGAGAGAAGCGAGAGGAGTGAGATGGGAGAGAGAGATGGGAGAGAGAGATGGGAGAGAGAGATGGGAGAGACACGCGAGAGAGAGGAGGCGAGATCGGCAGCCATTAGTGAAGGCCGCGATGGCGCTGTTACGACGGTGGCGTCAGCCCCAATCTGAGGCGATGGGACCCGCAGCGAAGCGAGTTGGGGGGCTCCGGGAGGGGGGGGGGTAGTTTGTTGTGGGTACAGCGACAAGGGGCTGGGGGGGGGGAGACTCACCTCGAATCGGCGTCTTCCTGCGAGTTCTGTGCTGCGTCTCTCGCTCGGTTCCTTCAGCGATGGCGTCGCGTGGCGATTCTCGACTCCGCGTCGATTCTCGGCGCTATCGACTCGCGGACGATTCTCGATTCTGCGTGGCGGTTTTTTTTCCCTCTCAAAATCCACTCGCGATTCGGTGCCCCGCCCACTCAGACCCGGGCCCCGCCTACTGAGACTCGGGCCCCGCCCACTCAGACCCGGCCCCGCCCACTCAGACCCGGGCCCCGCCTACTGAGACTCGGGCCCCGCCCACTCAGACCCGGCCCCGCCCACTAAGACCCGACCCCGCCCACTGAGACCCGGCCCCGCCCACTCAGACCCGACCCCGCCCACTGAGACCCGAGCCCCGCCCACTGAGACCCGGCCCCGCTCACTAAGACCCGACCCCGCCCACTGAGACCCGAGCCCCGCCCACTAAGACCCGACCCCGCCCACTGAGACCTGGCCCCGCCCACTAAGACCCGACCCCGCCCACTGAGACCCGGCCCCGCCCACTAAGACCCGGCCCCGCCCACTAAGACCCGGCCCCGCCCACTGAGACGTGGCCCCGCCCACTCAGACCCGGCCCCGCCCACTGAGACCTGGCCCCGCCCACTGAGACCACGCCCACTGAGACCCGGCTCCGCCCACTGAGACCCGACCCCGCCCACTGAGACGTGGCCCCGCCCACTAAGACCCGGCCCCGCCCACTCAGACCCGGCCCCGCCCACTCAGACCTGGCCCCGCCCACTGAGACGACGCCCACTTCTGCAGTGAGCGCCGCTCAGCTGCCGCTTCTGGCTCAGCGCGACGCCTCAACAGCGGTGGGTGGCATCGTCTATTGTCTATTGTCTATCTAGTGTCTGTCTATTGTCTAACTATTGTCTGTCTATTGTCTATCTATTGTCTAGTCTATTGTCTAACTATTGTCTGTCTATTGTCTATCTATTGTCTAGTCTCTGTCTATTGTCTAGTGTCTATCTATTGTCCATTGTCTATCTATTGTTTATTGTTTCTTGTCTATATATTGTCTATTGTCTGTCTATTGTCTAGTGTCTATCTATTGTCTAGTGTCTATCTATTGTATGTTGTCTATCTATTGTCTATCTATTGTCTATATATTGTCTATTGTCTATCTATTGTCTAGTGTCTATCTATTGTCTAGTGTCTATCTATTGTATATTGTCTATCTATTGTATATTGTTTATCTATTGCCTATCTATTGTCTATTGTCTATCTATTGTCTATTGTCTAGTGTCTGTCTATTGTCTAGTGTCTATCTATTGTATGTTGTCTATCTATTGTCTATCTATTGTCTATATATTGTCTATTGTCTATCTATTGTCTAGTGTCTATCTATTGTCTAGTGTCTATCTATTGTATGTTGTCTATCTATTGTCTATCTATTGTCTATATATTGTCTATTGTCTGTCTATTGTCTAGTGTCTATCTATTGTCTAGTGTCTATCTATTGTATGTTGTCTATCTATTGTCTATCTATTGTCTATATATTGTCTATTGTCTATCTATTGTCTAGTGTCTGTCTATTGTCTAGTGTCTATCTATTGTCTAGTGTCTATCTATTGTCTAGTGTCTATCTATTGTCTATTGTCTATCTATTGTCTATTGTCTATCTATTGTCTATCTATTGTCTATCTATTGTCTATTGTCTATGTATTATCTAGTGTCTATCTATTGTCTAGTGTTTATCTATTGTATATTGTCTATCTATTGTCTATCTATTGTCTATATATTGTCTATTGTCTATCTATTGTCTAGTGTCTATCTATTGTCCAGTGTCTATCTATTGTATATTGTCTATCTATTGTCTAACTATTGTCTATCTATTGTCTATTGTCTTTCTATTGTCTAGTGTCTATGGTTTATTGTCTATCTATTGTCTAGTGTCTATTGTCTCTTGTCTATCTATTGTCTAGTGTCTATTGTCTCTTGTCTATCTATTGTCTATTATGTATTGTCTATTGTCTATCTATTGTCTAGTGTCTATCTATTGTCTATTGTCTATTGTCTAGTGTCTATTGTCTCTTGTCTATTGTCTATTGTCTATCTATTGCCTATTGTCTATTTATTGTCTATTGTCTATCTATTGTCTATTGTCTATTTATTGTCTATTGTCTAGTGTCTATCTATTGTCTATTGTCTATCTATTGTCTGTTGTCTATATATTGTCTATTGTCTAGTGTCTATTGTCTATCTATTGTCTATTGTCTATCTATTGTCTATTGTCTAGTGTCTATCTATTGTATATTGTCTATCTATTGTCTATCTATTGTCGATTGTCTATCTATTGTCTAGTGTCTATGTATTGTCTAGTGTCTATCTATTGTATATTGTCTATCTATTGTCTATCTATTGTCTATTGTCTATCTATTGTCTAGTGTCTATCTATTGTATATTGTCTATCTATTGTCTATCTATTGTATATTGTCTATCTATTGTCTATCTATTGTCTATTGTCTATCTATTGTCTATTGTCTATCTATTGTCTATTGTCTATCTATTGTCTAGTGTCTATCTATTGTATATTGTCTATCTATTGTCTATCTATTGTCTATTGTCTATCTATTGTCTAGTGTCTATCTATTGTCTAGTGTCTATCTATTGTATATTGTCTATCTATTGTCTATTTATTGTCTATCTATTGTCTATCTATTGTCTATTGTCTATCTATTGTCTAGTGTCTATCTATTGTCTAGTGTCTATCTATTGCATATTGTCTATCTATTGTCTATCTATTGTCTATCTATTGTCTATTGTCTAGTGTCTATCTATTGTCTAGTGTCTATCTATTGTATATTGTCTATCTATTGTCTATCTATTGTCTATCTATTGTCTATCTATTGTCTATTGTCTAGTGTCTATCTATTGTCTAGTGTCTATCTATTGTATATTGTCTATCTATTGTCTATCTATTGTCTAACTAGTGTCTATCTATTGTCTATTGTCTGTCTATTGTCTATTGTCTATCTATTGCCTATTGTCTATTTATTGTCTATTGTCTATATATTGTCTATTGTCTAGTGTCTATTGTCTATCTATTGTCTATTGTCTATCTGTTGTCTATAATGTATTGTCTATTGTCTATCTATTGTCTATTATCTATATATTGTCTATTGTCTATCTATTGTCTATTGTCTATCTATTGTCTATTGTCTAGTGTCTATTGTCTAGTGTCTATTGTCTATTGTCTATCTATTGTCTATTGTCTATCTATTGTCTATTGTCTATCTATTGTCTATTGTCTATCTATTGTCTAGTGTCTATCTATTGTATATTGTCTATCTATTGTCTATCTATTGTCTATTGTCTATCTATTGTCTAGTGTCTATCTATTGTCTAGTGTCTATCTATTGTATATTGTCTATCTATTGTCTATTTATTGTCTATTGTCTATCTATTGTCTATTGTCTATCTATTGTCTAGTGTCTATCTATTGTCTAGTGTCTATCTATTGCATATTGTCTATCTATTGTCTATCTATTGTCTATTGTCTAGTGTCTATCTATTGTCTAGTGTCTATCTATTGTATATTGTCTATCTATTGTCTATCTATTGTCTAACTATTGTCTATCTATTGCATATTGTCTATCTATTGTCTATCTATTGTCTATCTATTGTCTATTGTCTAGTGTCTATCTATTGTCTAGTGTCTATCTATTGTATATTGTCTATCTATTGTCTATCTATTGTCTAACTAGTGTCTATCTATTGTCTATTGTCTGTCTATTGTCTATTGTCTATCTATTGCCTATTGTCTATTTATTGTCTATTGTCTATATATTGTCTATTGTCTAGTGTCTATTGTCTATCTATTGTCTATTGTCTATCTGTTGTCTATAATGTATTGTCTATTGTCTATCTATTTTCTATTATCTATATATTGTCTATTGTCTAGTGTCTATTGTCTATTGTCTATCTATTGTCTATTGTCTATCTATTGTCTATTGTCTATCTATTGTCTATTGTCTATCTATTGTCTAGTGTCTATCTATTGTATATTGTCTATCTATTGTCTATCTATTGTCTATTGTCTATCTATTGTCTAGTGTCTATCTATTGTCTAGTGTCTATCTATTGTATATTGTCTATCTATTGTCTATTTATTGTCTATCTATTGTCTATCTATTGTCTATTGTCTATCTATTGTCTAGTGTCTATCTATTGTCTAGTGTCTATCTATTGCATATTGTCTATCTATTGTCTATCTATTGTCTATCTATTGTCTATTGTCTAGTGTCTATCTATTGTCTAGTGTCTATCTATTGTATATTGTCTATCTATTGTCTATCTATTGTCTAACTATTGTCTATCTATTGCATATTGTCTATCTATTGTCTATCTATTGTCTATCTATTGTCTATTGTCTAGTGTCTATCTATTGTCTAGTGTCTATCTATTGTATATTGTCTATCTATTGTCTATCTATTGTCTAACTAGTGTCTATCTATTGTCTATTGTCTGTCTATTGTCTATTGTCTATCTATTGCCTATTGTCTATTTATTGTCTATTGTCTATATATTGTCTATTGTCTAGTGTCTATTGTCTATCTATTGTCTATTGTCTATCTGTTGTCTATAATGTATTGTCTATTGTCTATCTATTGTCTATTATCTATATATTGTCTATTGTCTAGTGTCTATTGTCTATTGTCTATCTATTGTCTATTGTCTATCTATTGTCTATTGTCTATCTATTGTCTATTGTCTATCTATTGTCTATTGTCTATTTAATGTTTATTGTCTAGTGTCTATCTATTGTCTATTGTCTATCTATTGTCTATTGTCTATATATTGTCTATTGTCTATATATTGTCTATTGTCTAGTGTCTATTGTCTAGTGTCTATTGTCTATTGTCTATCTATTGTCTATTGTCTATCTATTGTATATTGTCTATCTATTGTATATTGTCTATCTATTGTCTATTGTCTATCTAGTGTCTATTGTCTCTTGTCTATCTATTGTCTATTGTCTATTGTCTATTTATTGTCTATTGTCTATATATTGTATATTGTCTATCTATTGTCTATTGTCTATCTAGTGTCTATTGTCTATCTATTGTATATTGTCTATCTATTGTCTATCTATTGTCTATCTATTGTCTAGTGTCTATCTATTGTCTAGTGTCTATCTATTGTATATTGTCTATCTATTGTCTAGTGTCTATCTATTGTCTAGTGTCTATCTATTGTCTATTGTCTATCTAGTGTCTATTGTCTATCTATTGTATATTGTCTATCTATTGTCTATCTATTGTCTATCTATTGTCTAGTGTCTATCTATTGTCTAGTGTCTATCTATTGTCTATTGTCTATCTATTGTCTAGTGTCTATCTATTGTCTATATATTGTATATTGTCTAGTGTCTATTGTCTCTTGTCTATCTATTGTCTATTATGTATTGTCTATTGTCTATCTATTGTCTAGTGTCTATCTATTGTCTATTGTCTATCTATTGTCTATTGTCTGTCTATTGTCTATTGTCTATCTATTGTCTATTGTCTAGTGTCTATTGTCTATCTATTGTCTATTGTCTAGTGTCTATTGTCTATCTATTGTCTATTGTCTATCTAGTGTCTATTGTCTATCTATTGTATATTGTCTATCTATTGTCTATTGTCTAGTGTCTATTGTCTATTGTCTATCTATTGTCTATTGTCTATATATTGTCTATTGTCTATTGTCTATCTATTGTCTATTGTCTAGTGTCTATTGTCTATCTATTGTCTATTGTCTATCTATTGTCTATCTATTGTCTATGTATTGTCTATTGTCTATCTATTGTCTATCTATTGTCTATCTATTGTCTATTGTCTATCTATTGTCTATTGTCTATATATTGTCTATCTATTGTCTATTGTCTGTCTATTGTCTATCTATTGTCTATTGTCTATCTATTGTCTAGTGTCTATCTATTGTCTATCTATTGTCTATTTTCTATCTATTGTCCATTGTCTATCTATTGTCTATCTATTGTCTATCTATTGTCTATTGTCTATCTATTGTCTATTGTCTATCTATTGTCTATTGTCTGTCTATTGTCTATTGTCTATCTATTGTCTATTGTCTATCTATTGTCTGTCTATTGTCTATTGTCTATCTATTGTCTATTGTCTATCTATTGTCTATTGTCTATCTATTGTCTATTGTCTGTCTATTGTCTGTCTATTGTCTATCTATTGTCTGTCTATTGTCTATCTATTGTCTATTGTCTATCTATTGTCTATCTATTGTCTATTGTCTGTCGTCTATTGTCTCTCTATTGTCTATTGTCTATCTATTGTCTATTGTCTATCTATTGTCTATTGTCTAGTGTCTATTGTCTATCTATTGTCTATTGTCTGTCTATTGTCTATTGTCTATCTAATGTAAATCTATTGTCTATTGTCTATCTATTGTCTATTGTCTAGTGTCTATTGTCTATTGTCTCTCTATTGTCTATTGTCTATCTATTGTCTATTGTCTATCTATTGTCTATTGTCTAGTGTCTATTGTCTATCTATTGTCTATTGTCTGTCTATTGTCTATTGTCTATCTATTGTCTATTGTCTATGTATTGTCTATTGTCTATCTATTGTCTATCTATTGTCTATCTATTGTCTATTGTCTATCTATTGTCTATCTATTGTCTATTGTCTGTCTATTGTCTGTCTATTGTCTATCTATTGTCTAGTGTCTATTGTCTATCTATTGTCTATTGTCTATCTATTGTCTAGTGTCTGTCTATTGTCTATTGTCTATCTAATGTAAATCTATTGTCTATCTATTGTCTATCTATTGTCTATTGTCTATCTATTGTCCATTGTCTATCTATTGTCTATCTATTGTCTATCTATTGTCTATTGTCTATCTATTGTATATTGTCTAGTGTCTATTGTCTATCTATTGTCTATCTATTGTCTATTGTCTATCTATTGTCTATTGTCTATCTATTGTCTATTGTCTATCTATTGTCTATCTATTGTCTATTGTCTATCTATTGTCTGTCTATTGTCTATCTATTGTCTGTCTATTGTCTATCTATTGTCTATTGTCTATCTATTGTCTATCTATTGTCTATTGTCTGTCTATTGTCTATTGTCTATCTATTGTCTATTGTCTATCTATTGTCTATCTATTGTCTATTGTCTATCTATTGTCTGTCTATTGTCTATTGTCTATCTATTGTCTGTCTATTGTCTATTGTCTATCTATTGTCTATTGTCTATCTATTGTCTATCTATTGTCTATTGTCTATCTATTGTCTATCTATTGTCTATTGTCTATCTATTGTCTATCTATTGTCTATTGTCTATCTATTGTCTGTCTATTGTCTATCTATTGTCTATTGTCTATCTATTGTCTATCTATTGTCTATTGTCTATCTATTGTCTATCTATTGTCTATTGTCTGTCTATTGTCTGTCTATTGTCTATCTATTGTCTGTCTATTTTCTAGTGTCTATTGTCTGTCTATTGTCTATTGTCTATCTATTGTCTATTGTCTATCTATTGTCTATCTATTGTCTATTTATTGTCTATTGTCTGTCTATTGTCTGTTTATTGTCTGTCTATTGTTTATTGTCTGTCTATTGTCTATTGTCTATCTATTGTCTATCTATTGTCTATCTATTGTCTATCTATTTTATGTCTATTGTCTATTGTCTGTCTATTGTCTATTGTCTATCTATTGTCTATCTATTGTCTATTGTCTGTCTATTGTCTATCTATTGTCTGTCTATTGTTTAGTGTCTATTGTCTGTCTATTGTCTATTGTCTATCTATTGTCTATTGTCTATCTATTGTCTATCTATTGTCTATTTATTGTCTATTGTCTGTCTATTGTCTATATATTGTATGTCTATTGTCTATTGTCTGTCTATTGTCTATTGTCTATCTATTTTATGTCTATTGTCTATTGTCTGTCTATTGTCTATATATTGTATGTCTATTGTCTATCTATTGTCTATTGTCTATCTATTTTATGTCTATTGTCTATTGTATGTCTATTGTCTATCTATTGTCTATTGTCTATCTATTTTATGTCTATTGTCTGTCTATTGTCTATCTATTGTATGTCTATTGTCTATTGTCTGTCTATTGTCTATTGTCTGTCTATTGATGGCAAGGAGTCTTTAGGAGAGAAATCGTCGTCTCGTGTTCACGGCGCTCGGTGGGAGGGCGCCCCATCGCCCCCTAGTGGACGAACCGCGCCAGGCCACTGCTGCTGATGATGATGATGCTGATGGTGCTGATGATGGTGCTGATGGTGCTGATGATGGTGGAGATGGTGGTGATGATGGTGGTGATGATGCTGATGGTGGTGATGATGCTGATGGTGGTGATGATGATGAAGCTGATGATGCTGATGATGGTGGTGATGGTGCCGAAGGTGGTGCTGATGATGGTGTTGATGATGGTGCTGATGGTGCTGATGATGGTGGAGATGGTGCTGATGATGCTGATGGTGGTGATGATGCTGATGGTGGTGATGATGATGGTGCTGATGATGCTGATGAGGGTGGTGATGGTGCCGAAGGTGGTGCTGATGATGGTGGTGATGGTGCTGATGGTGGTGATGATGGTGCTGATGGTGGTGATGATGGTGCTGATGGTGGTGATGATTCTGAAGATAATGGTGCTGATGCTGATGATGTTGCTGATGATGATGGTGCTGCTGCTGATGATGGTGCTGATCGTGCTGATGATGCTGATGATGGTGCTGATGATGGTGCTGATGGTGCTGATGCTGATGATGCTGATGGTGCTGATGCTGATGATGCTGATCATGCTGATCATGCTGATCATACTGATGGTGCTGATGATGCTTCTGCTGATGATGCTGCTGCCTACAGAGCCATGCACGAGGAGGCATTGCTGCTGCAGTTCAACTCTCTGCACTTCTGGAAGCTGCCGCTCCCGGAGATCGGCTCCGACGACCTCCAGACAATCAGTGAGAGGGAGGGAGGGTGGGAGTGTGTGACAGAGAGAGTTTGTGTGGGGAGCGGTGGCTAGGAGATGTTCACTACCTCGCCTGGTGTACAGGAGGTCGTGGGTTCAATACCGACCCTGACGATGCCTGCTGCTGTATATTTGGAGTTTGCATCTCTCTTTCTCATCATCATCATCATAGTGGCTATGAGATGTTGACTACCTCGCCTGGTGTACAGGAGGTCGTGGGTTCGATTCCGACCCTGACGCCTGCTGCTGTATATTTGGAGTTTGCGTGTCTCTCTCTTATCAGCACAATAACAACGGTAGGAGGCTGCTAGAATTGTTGTGCAGCCCATGGGCTTGTAATTACCAACACGCTGTTCTGGCATCGGCATATCCACGAAACGTCATGGATGCATGCCGGGTCCAAGCAAGAACATTTGCTGGATTATATAGTGATGAAACAGCAGATGCGGGCCCATGTCTTTGACACCAGGACCTACCGTGGAGCTGATCTGCCCACTGACCATCGACTTGTCATCTGTAAGATGCGCCTGCCATTCTTCCACTCCGGTGGTGGGTGTACACCCAGGACCCCATTCAAACCCATAGTGGCATGGTCTCAGGTAGCTGATGAAAGTTGAAAGCGAGAATTTCATCATCACTTGCGGCTGGGGTTGGCATCATCCCCCAGTCTTGATGTCGAGGGGAGATGGGCGAGGTTTAGGATTGTGGCTCATGTAGCTGCAATGACTGCTTAGGGTACACGGTCCAAACCTCCCCAGAGACCCTGGCTGACAGAGGAGGTGTTCAGGCTGGCTGAGGAAAAGCGACAGGCCCACTCTCATCGTCTACAGCATCCCACGTCAGAGAATGAGGAGGCTTACCGCAGCCTTCGCTCGGAGGTTCGGAGAGCCGTGAGGCGCTGCAAGGATGGGTGGTGGTTGCGGGTTGCTGAGGAGATGGAGTCTGCCTCAGTGGCCCGCGATCACAAATCGCTATTTATATCCATCAACAAAAGTAACCTGCAGCGCCACCCCTATCACCATCATTAGGGGAAAAAATGGTGATCCAATCTCTGACCACCAGGAACACGTCTGTGAGGTTTTTGGAAAACATGGGGCAAAGTGGGGATGACCCTTCTGAGGCTGCGGTGCATCAAACGTTGGAAGAAGTTTTCACCCCTTGTGAGTGGCTTGCTGAGGTGCCATCTGTTGAGGAAGTACTTAAGGTGATCCAGAGTCTGAGACCAGGAAAAGGCACCGGGCAGAGATGATCTCTCAAGCAAAATGCTGAGGGAGGGTGGCGTTTGTCCACAGACTGCTCTACATGACATCAAAACAACAGTCTGGACCACTGGATGGGTTCCGCAGGACTGGAAGGATGTCCTGGTGGTCCTCTTTAAGAAGGGGGACCGCACAGACTGTAACAACTACAGGGGCATCTCACTCCTGAGTGTGCCGGGAAAGGCCCTGGCAAGGATTATTCAACATTGCCTTGCTAGGTACGCTGAGGAGAGGCTTGCGGAGCCCCAATGCGGTTTCAGGAAAAGGCGGTCCTGCACAGATGCCATATTTTCTGTCCGTCTGTTACAGCAGAGGTGTAGGAAATCCCAACAAGACCTACATCTCTGCTTTATTGACCTGGTCAAGGCCGATGATACAATCAGTAGGCCTGGGCTCTGGGTTGTTCTTCGTGCTTTTGCAGTCCCTGATTCTCTGTTCACAATCATTAAGGACCTTCATGATGGTGAGTGGGCCCGGGTAAAACTACATGGCTGGGAGTCGGAGCAATTCCCTTTTCACCTTGGGGTGCGACATGGATCTCCTCTGGCTCCCACATTATTTAACATCTATTTCGACAACGTAGTTTGTGAAGCCATCATTTGCTGTACCGGAGGAATTTCCATCTGTTACAGATACAATGGGAGGCTGATAGATTCCTGGGTACGGTCAATGGATGGCTCCCTATTTGTCAACCCTGTTACGTATGCCGATGATCTGGTAATTGCTGCTCACTCAGAGGAGGGGTTAGAAATGCTGCTGCTGAACCTGGAGCATGTCACTAAGAGGTGGGGCCTTATCATCAGCCCCACCAAAACTAAGCACCTGCCTGGGTATTTTGTACCATCGGACACTCCACCCCCACAACTCCCAATCGGTGATGGGGCAGTAGTGGAGAGAGTGGAGAGTTCCCCATACCTGGGCAGTGTAATCATGACCGGCTCTGGTTTGACAGCAGAGGTCTCACTCCGAATCAGTTGAGTGGCATAATCATTTCATCGGTTGCGTAATGCTGTGTGGAAGCTACCTGGTCTGTCGCTCCGCACGAAGCTTCAGGTCTTCTCGGCCACAGTAATTCCTTTCCTTCTCTACGCTTGCAAAACGTGGACCCCACTAATGGAACATCTTCGCTGGTTAGAAACATTTAGGCTGGCCTGCCTACGATCGATCCATCCTGGGTTTAACCAGGCTGGATTGTGTGAGGAGCTCACAAATCCTTGAAAGATCTGGACAAAGTCCCATCGGTGAGCTCCTCCGGCAGGCAAGGCTGCGTTGGCTGGGTCATGTAGCCTGCATGCCCACCCACCGCATGCCTAAACAGCTTTTGTTCGGCTCGAGGGGGCTATACGGGTGTGATACGGGCTAGAGACGAGATGGAGTGATGTGGTACGGGAGGATGTGGAGCTGAGTGGACTTGCCAATGACTGGTACCAGCGGTGTCAAGATCGGCCTCTGTGGAGGCAGTTGAACGGAGGGCGGAGGAGCGACGCTCATAACAACGAGCGGAGCGCCGGGTAGCTAAAGCACAGTGAGTTGGCACAGGTGGTGCATCAGCCAGTCGTCTCAGTCAGTCGACCTGTGGCACCTGCTGGGTCTGCCCCATGACCTCCTGCCAGCGGGCGTTCGACATTTCACGTGGCCTCAAGGTGCACGTGGCCTGGCACAAGCGTCGTGGTGACGTCACCGCCACTTAGTGGCGAATGGCGGTTGTTGTTGTTGTGTATCTCTCCATCTCTGTCTGTCCCTCTGTGTCTGGATGCCTCTCTCTCTCTCTCTCCCTTCCTGCCCCTCTCCCTACAGGCGACCCCCACCAAGGGACTACCCCCCCCCAATCTCCCCCCCCTCCCCCCGTGCTCCCAGGCCGTGCCCCCCACTCGACTCCGCGGATCGCCGCCTCCGCCCCCCACGACTTCGGCACCGCCACCTACTGGCGGCAACCGCTGCCCGCGGTCGACCCGGCCGAGATGGATCAGCTGCTGGCGGGACGGGGGGCCGGGGGGGGCTCGGGGTGGGGGGCGGGGCTGAGGAGGGAGGGAGTGGGCGCTTAGCGGTGGGCCAGGAGATGGTGACTCCCTCGCCTGGCACGCAGGGAGTCGCCATCGCGCGACACGATCACCGCTCGACGCGTCGTGTACCCCATTGGCGCTGCGAACACAACGCGCAGCGTTAGAAAGAGAACAGCAGACAGAACAGGGTGGGTCCAGATGTCTTGTGCCCCCCCCCATTAATTGGGCCATAGAATTTAATTATTTATTTTAAATTATTTTGCAGTAAATATCTCTCTCATTTTTTCACGGTGACTAAGGGATGTTAACTACCTCGCCTGGTACACAGGAGGTCGTGGGTTTAATCCCGACCCTGACGATGCCTGCTGCTGTATATTTGGAGTTTGCATTTCTCTCTCTCATCATCATCACGGTGGCCAGGAGATGTTAACTACCTCACCTGGTACACAGGAGGTCGTGGGTTCGATCCCGGACCCTGACGATGCCTGAGTGAGTGGGTGAGATGTTAACTACCTCGCCTGGTACACAGGAGGTTGTGGGTTCCATCCCGGACCCTGACGATGCCTGAGTGAGTGGGTGAGATGTTAACTACCTCGCCTGGTACACAGAAGGTCGTGGGTTCCATCCCGGACCCTGACGATGCCTGAGTGAGTGGGTGAGATGTTAACTACCTCGCCTGGTACACAGGAGGTCGTGGGTTCCATCCCGGACCCTGACGATGCCTGAGTGAGTGGGTGAGATGTTAACTACCTCGCCTGGTACACAGGAGGTCGTGGGTTCCATCCCGGACCCTGACGATGCCTGAGTGAGTGGGTGAGATGTTAACTACCTCGCCTCGTACACAGGAGGTCGTGGGTTCCATCCCGGACCCTGACGATGCCTGAGTGAGTGGGTGAGATGTTAACTACCTCGCCTGGTGTACAGGAGGTCGTGGGTTCGATGCCTGCTGCTGCTGCTGTATATTTGGAGTCTGCGCCTCTCTCCCCGTGGTGGTCACAGCGTGGATTGTTCTCCGAGTCATCCTGTTCCCCCCACTCCACACATTTAGAATCAATGTCTCTACACAATCAGAGTAATTTGGCTGGGGCTATGAATTCCCACACGACCATGATGATGATGACGATGACGATGATGACGATGATGATGACGATGATGATGATGACGATGATGATGATTGATGATGATGATTGATGATGATTGATGATAATGATTGACGATGATGATGATGACAATCTACCACTTGGTTGAGCAGCTGTCATCTGTGATGACCAGATGGTCACTTCTAAGAGCTACACAGCAGCCCAGCGGGGCCTTACACCGGCTAACACGCACACACACACGTACACACACACACACGTACACACACACACACGCACGCACACACACACACGCACACACACACTAGTTCATAGTTTCTTATTTTACAGGGAACCTCGGCTCTGTCTGTCTCTCCGTTCCGCACAGCTCCTCTGGGTCTCTGTGGGTCTCTATGAGTATGAGTCTCTGTGGGTCTCTATGAGTATGAGTCTCTGTGGGTCTCTATGAGTATGAGTCTCTGTGGGTCTCTGTGGGTCTCTATGAGTATGGGTCTCTGTGGGTCTCTATGAGTATGAGTCTCTGTGGGTCTCTGTGGGTCTCTATGAGTATGAGTCTCTGTGGGTCTCTATGAGTATGAGTCTCTGTGGGTATCTGTGGGTCTCTATGAGTATGGGTCTCTGTGGGTCTCTATGAGTATGAGTCTCTGTGGGTCTCTGTGGGTCTCTATGAGTATGGGTCTCTGTGGGTCTCTATGAGTATGAGTCTCTGTGGGTCTCTGTGGGTCTCTAAAGTATGAGTCTCTGTGGGTCTCTATGAGTATGGGTCTCTGTGGGTCTCTGTGGGTCTCTATGAGTATGAGTCTCTGTGGGTCTCAATGAGTATGGGTCTCTGTGGGTCTCTATGTGTATGGGTCTCTATGAGTATGAGTCTCTGTGGGTCTCTATGAGTATGAGTCTCTGTGGGTCTCTGTGGGTCTCTATGAGAACGTGACCCCACGTGCCCTGGTACTAGCAAACACAGAGGTGGCGGCCGGGGGGGCGGACAAATGGCGATTGTTTAACTTGCAATGACTCTCAGACAATACACAATAAATTATTAAGAACAATGTTGTCGTCTTATTACCTTCGATGATGGTGGTGGTGATGGATTTGTCGACGATGGTGAAGGTGGTTGATGGTGGCGAGCAATTCAAGAGGATTACTCTGTCTCTCTCTGCATATCTCTCTCTCCATATCTCTTTCTCTCTCTCCTCTCGGGAGATGCCAGAGGTTCGTTTGACGGCAAGCCAGCCGTGCGTGGTGGTGGTGGTTTTCATTAGAAATGCTCCGATACGCGTGACATTGCCCTTGTACTGGTCGCCGTTTTGAGTTGTTCTCTGGTCTGACGCTGGCGGTGAGACTTGGCCCATAAAGAAGGCTGCCGATGTCTCTGGTGGAGGACGATCAGCTCCAAAGGCAACGGCTGCAGACTATTATCACGGCGTGTTCTGTTTGCTTGTTCACCACGAGCATTAAGTGTGTGTGGTGAACGTAGTCATTTCATTCCTTGCAAAATATAGAATCGATTTCGTGTTTGAACTTCTTAACACAACTCCTGTTGTATTACTGCCCGAATAGGTAAAACATTGGTCGCGAAAGCCCCCGTGTTAAACTGACCTATGATTTGAATTTGTTTTGATACTTTGATACCGGAGAAACGGTCCCGAATCGAACCGATCTGGGCAAGTTTCGTTTACGCGACAATTGGCCGTGTCGGGTGGTGGCGGCCTTCAACGACACGGCACTCATGCAGTGCCGGGCGAAGATAGTGCGGAGCCTGTAGCATGATGTTAGAAAGCGGCCCTAAATAAAAAAAAACCACGTAAGTATTAAAACATGTAAAATGTTTCACTTGCACAGTAAAGTAATTGTATTTTTTTCATTTGCTATACAGCCAGATAGTACGACAAATCGCTAACCTTAGACACCCAACCTTGTTTTGCGATCGAAACGTCGTGATTTGTTTTATTTTATTTCTAACTACGTGACTTTACCGAAACAACCAAAGAGCTTAGACACCCAGTACTATAGTAATAGACAGTGGCGGCTCCTGCAAAATCTCTCAGGGGGGGCAAATGTTTGGATGATTGATAAGGATAAGCTCCACCCATGCAATGGATAAATTAACAGCTTAAGCATGTAAAGGCAACTTCACTTCTTTCATATTAATGAAAAATAAAGTGACTCTTACAATACATCTCCTTGTTTGTTTCTATACTCACTATTATTACACTGCTTACATCACATTACTCGCTTAATACACTGCTTACTTATACTGAAATGTTGCTCTTCTCTCTTTCAAAGTAGCAAAGTGATCAATGACTCTCTCATTGAAAGCAGGCGTGTTCCTGACTAGTTCCCTCTCCATGGAAAGCATAGCCAGCGCATTCAGACGTTCCTGTCCCATTACATTTCTCAGGAATGTCTTGCTTCTCTTTAAGGTTGTAAAACACATTGGCAGATGTAAAGGGTGACCAATAGCATTAATTCTTGAAAAAATATGGAGATATAAAATATGGACACCTCTCAGCTTCAGCAGTTGTCATGGGAGTGGTTATGAGGATGTTCAACAGAGCAACAGTCTCTGAAAAAGTATCCTGAAGGTTGTACTTCAGCAAAACCTGGTACAGCGCCAGTGCACCACAGCAGCCCTTGAATTCTGGACTCTCATAAATGAGAGACAGTTCAGTCTTCAGCTTCGCCTTAGTTAACATTGGGTATGCCCTGACAGTGATGTTCAGAGCCTCAACAGGGAATGTATGGCCATGCTGTTGAAACATCTCTCCTTGTAGCAGCGTGGCACTTACAAGGTGGTCGGTAAAGGAGAACCTTTCTTTGGTGTGGACCAAGATTGTGTCGCAGACCTGACAAAAGAAATACATTTATTTTAGTTATAAAATAAATTATTTATTATAATATAAATATGGAGATACAAGGTTTCCATCCCGACAGCAACAATGTATCAGGCAGAATCCATATTTTATATCTCCATATTTTTCAAAAATTAATGCTATTGGTCACCCTTTACATCTGTCAATGTGTTTTACAAATATTTAACCAATGAAAAGCATTAAAAGAGCTTGGAAATTATTTTGGGGAAAAAACAGGTTTTCTTTCGTTTCCTGAAAAGTAACAGTTTTGGACATACAAGGCTTCCGTCCGACAGCGATGATTTGTGTGTGTGTGTTATTACGTTAATTAACATTTTACCAAAATTCAAGCTCAAATGGAGTTTGACAAGGTTTTTGACCAGTAAATGTATTTTCAATCCACTCAGATAGTTTCTTTTATTAAATATTCCACTAGGTGGCGACAAATAATATTGTTGACTGAAACGTGCTTATGTATGATGACGTAAGCACGTTAGTGCGAGCCCTCCCGGAACCCATAGAGAATGCATTGCAGCGCCTGCCGTTCGAAAAAAAACATCTTTGAATGTAAGTCTATGGGAACACTTTGGGCGATTCTCAGCCGGAGTGAAATCGCCCAAAAAGAGGCGGTACTCCACAGAACGTGACATGACGCTGATTGGACTATATCCAGAGGCACAGTGACGGCTAGCGTAACTCTGGTTGAATGACATTGTGAATGTGATTGAAAAAGTCCCTTTCACACTTTGGTGGTGCGTCGCCCAATCGCCCTAATGAAGAAACCGCCCCTGGTAATAGAGCAAGTGCAGAATCACTATACCGGAATTGATAGCTTGAAAGCGTTAAGCACGGGGCCTTTGAAAGTTCTGGGCCCGTAGCTACTACTACATATGTAGTAGTACATATGTAATATGTACTACGACATATGTACTACTACATATGTGCCACTAAATATGTGTACTACATAGTAGTACATATATGTAGTAGCTACTACAAATATGTACTACTACATATGTAGGAGTACATATATGTAGTAGTACATATGTAGTAGCACATATGTAGTAGCTACCAGGATCATCCGAAACTACATTTATGCCTCACGTGATGTAACCCAAAATAACTCCCCCTTGCCCCCCTCTATCATGGATCATCAACCACGGCATGATGCTTCATGGTGGTGGTTGTTGATGCTCCGGTGTTCCTCGCAGTAGCCCATCACGGACTGTGGGGCCACGTGGTGTTCGTAGCGAGTCGCGAGCAGCACCAATGTCATGGCGACTTCCGCGACACGTCGTGGAGAGGGAACTCTTCTTGATTTCACAGACGGGCACAACACAGGCCAACTCACACAGAGCACAGACTCACACAGAGACCCACAGACTGACACAGAGACCCACAGACTCACAGAGACCCACAGACTCACACAGAGACCCACAGACTTATACAGATATCAATAGAATCACACAGAGACCCACAGACTCACACAGAGACCCATAGACTCACGTAGAGACCCATAGACTCACATAGAGACCCATAGACTCACATAGAGACCCATAGACTGACACAGAGACCCACAGACTCACACAGAGACCTATTGACTCACATAGAGACCCATAGACTCACACAGAGACCCACAGACTCACAGAGACCCACAGATTCACACAGAGACCCATAGACTCACACCGAGACCCACCACACAGAGACCCACAGACTCACATAGAGACCCATAGGCTGACACAGAGACCCACAGACTCACACAGAGACCCACAGACTGACACAGAGACCCACAGACTCACACAGAGACCCACAGACTCTCACAGAGTTCCATAGAATCGCACAAAGACCCACAGACTCACACAGAGACCCATTGACTCACATAGAGACCCATAGACTCACACAGAGACCCACAGACTCACAGAGACCCACAGACTCACACAGAGACCTATGGACTCACATAGAGACCCATAGACTCACATAGAGACCCATAGACTGACACAGAGACCCACAGACTCACACAGAGACCCACAGACTCTCACAGAGTTCCATAGAATTACAGAGACCCACAGATTTACACAGAGACCCACAGACTCACACAGAGACCTATGGACTCACATAGAGACCCATAGACTCATATAGAGACCCATAGACTGACACAGAGACCCACAGACTCACACAGAGACCCACAGACTCTCACAGAGTTCCATAGAATCACAGAG